GCCTTCCAATTTGCTTAAAGTTGACAAGCAAAAAACAGTGTGCTTTAAAACTTCTGCCAGAGGACCCACTTCAATATGGAATGTCCAAGGCAATCGAACAACAAATTGAGACAAGCAAATAAAAACTGGAAACTGTCATGGAAAGAAAAGCAGGCAAAAGATGACTAAAATGTTGTCTGGGCTTTTCTCCAAGCTGGCTTTGGCAATGGGATGAAAGCCCTTTGTCTCAATGGTAAAAAATGATTGGATATGTATAGATTTTGACTCAAGATAGAGATAAACTGATAAAAATGGGCTGCATTAGAAACTGGTGAGTACTTTATCACTGGAGATGTTTGAACATAAGAATGTTAAGAATGAACAACACTAAGGATGTTGTAGAAGAGAGTTGTGCATTCTGTAAGAGGTTAGATTACACAACCACAAGAACCCAAGAGACAAGTTGCAGATGGTATCAAGGTTGCAAAAATGAGATATTGGAAGGTTAATGTTATTAATCAATACAAATAAGTAGAGAAGTTACTGCATGTCTGTGGAAAGATAAGAAGTTCAAATGTTACAGATGCTTTATTTTAATCCTAGATGAAAACTTCTAAGCAGAGATAGTCTAAGACTAACAATGTATAAATGGATATATTCTCATTATATTACAACTCTACCTTTTCTTCCAATAACTCTGTTATTACTGCTTTTCTGCTTTTCCTATCCTGTAAATTTCAATGTGTCCATGAGGGAGACCAGCCACTTATTTCTAAATAAAGATATGAATTTGAGACGAATGCCCAAGGTGGCCATTGAAAAAAATGCTTATCCAGAGGTGCTCAAACTCTGACTTCCAATGCTACTGTCCTACAGCTTGTAGCTGTAACTGACGGATCTCACTTCTCAATTCGTGGGACAGTAAAGCTTATTTTTCAAGATTGCCACCATAAACTATTCCTAAGCAACAACAAAAGTTTCTGTATTTGCTATCTCCTTTACACTAACTGCTAGATCACCCAGTGGTTGTTTGCACTTGATTGTTTTTCTTTGCATTTAAAAAAATTCATCTCAAGCAACTTTCAAACCATCAGAAAAACATCATGAGAATTATAAATTATAATTTTATGTTGGCTGTACCAAAAATGTAATATCCAGTATCTCCTAAGATTAAATGAACTGCAAGGCTACTAGGAACAATACGAAAGTAAGAGGCGGTGGATTGGGCAACACAGGATCAAGTGAGGCCTTATTTCGCATCATAAGAAGATGGATACTCCAGGCACAAGTATAGTAATGAGTAAAATTTAATTTGCTTCATTTCCAGAAACAAGTTAAATAAGGTTAGGAAGCAAAGGGCTCCTTTCTAAAGAAAGACAGAGGGAGGGATGAAGAGAGGGAGAGAGAGTGAAAGTGGGGAGAGGGAAGACAAAAGTGATTGGGAACAAGTCATTGTAACCAAGGAGTCCTTTCAATAAAAAATGTGGGCATCATCTACTTCTATTCCATAAACACAGCTGCAAGAGACTACATTCTCCCTCAAAAGAAAATTTCTCTTTAACCTTATTAATATTTACTGAAACATGTTTATCTTGGATTTTGAATTCAAGTACCTCTTAACTCCTTTCCTAATAAATAGCAAATCCAAATACCATAATGCAAAATTTGTCATCAAAATTTTTAAGAATTCATAAAAGAAAGCCAACTATTTGTAGATTTTCAATAATCTCACTTAATAACAATATTGCAAAACTCCTGATCATAAGACAGAAGAATCTAGCTCACATTTGGGCTAGTCACTTCTTTCCAATTGCTGCAATGGAATTTGCTTGTGAGAAGCTGTTTTCCCCTGAAGGTAAAGACTGCTTTGCCTATTTACAAAATAAGAACTCAAAAAATACCAGATGTATAGTTATTATACTAGTTGTTTATTCTAAAAGTACATTGAAAGCAGAGATTCTCTGAAGAAGTATCTTTCTACCTTCCTTTAGTGTAACATATAATGTGATGTCATAAATAACCAGATGGTTAAAAAAAAATTATAAAACATCCAGGAAAAAAAAAATCATAGTGATTTTTAAAAATACTAAATTATTATTCTGTTTGCTTCAGTGCAATTATCTCTGAATATAACATTGCATTATCACTCACTTTGAATCTACCATTCATAAATTTTAAAGTAAAAGGAAACTCATACAATTATTCATAGTTAATGCTGGAGTTAACTATTTTCAGAGTTAATCTCTGATTTGGTAACTTGAGTTTCTTATTGTGCTAATTAATGGTGAACATGAATCAGCCTGGTGTTTAGCGATCGGATCACCACCCCTAACTCAAACTGGAACTAAATGTTCAACCAGAGAATGAATGAAAGTTACAGAAATTAAAAAAGAAAGAAAAAAAGAAAAAGCTAGCACCCCTTTAAACTTCTGAAAATATCACAACCAAAAGGATTCAGATAAAGTAAAAGTCATTTTACCTGCTCATCATGTTTTTTATGACCTGTTAATGACTGTTGTTCTGAAATGGAATAGAATCCCAACCCCAGATACATTCAGCACAGATCATGTGTATAGCATTGCTTTTGTGTATCTTTACTAAAAAATTCTCAGTACTTTCAAGAATTCTGTTTGCGATTATATTCAGCTATTTAGATGACATTTCACCTCAATAAACAAGCAGAATTTTTTCCTTTTCAGGAAATAGAGATATTGATGCAGTTTATTCTATCAGAGTCCTTTAATTTGGAAGTCTAGCTGCTTCCTCTTATCTGAGTACACCAGCAGGCAAACTTGAGCATTATGAACCACAAATTACATGCAAACTCCAAGCACTATGCAGTAAGCAAAGGAGATTTCATGGCTCTGTAGTTTTCATAATTACATTAAAGCCAGGAATGTTTCTCTTAAAACACCAAAATGTGTTTTTATAAAGAAATTGATTTCAGGATTGTCATTAGAAAGTAAATAAGCAAGGATTAAAGTGGCATTTACTGTGATGAAATAGTGGCTTAAAATAGGTAAGCCAGCAGATATAGTAAAGCATGCTCCAGTCTGGAATAGGGAAGAGGGCTTAGGACTTGAAATCAGAGATTCTTTCTTGGTAAAAGGCTCAGTTCTTCTACAAGCCTGCTCAGTGACTTGTGGGAGGTCATTTCATCTTTTTACTTTCCTCATTTGCATAAAGATGTAATTAAATTACATATTTTAAGGTCTCATTTGGTTCTAAAGACTCCTGAGGTTAAGGTTTCTTAAAGGAACTGATTTCTGGGGAGAATTTACATTAGTACAAACTATTAGTGCTCCCAAAGAGCTGTTTAGTACATTGATTTTTACAGTTTTATAAGTTTAGTGTAGTGATGCTCAAATTTTATTATGCATCAAAACTTGTTAACAGGGGGAAATTCCTGGGCTCCATGATTAAAGACATATTCAGTAGGACTGGGTGGGCATGGGAATCTGAGCTGTTAGTAGCCCTCAAGGTAATTCTCATGTAGTTGCACTTTGAGAATGGACTAGTAGCTTGAAAAAAGTAAAACAATTTCTCCAAATTCTGGTTTAATCCCTGGTAAACTGTCATAATAGGGTATTAAGGCACAATAATAATTCCAAATAAAAACTTGCTTTTCATCAGAAATATGATTACAAAAGAATAAACATGGCCGGTGGCTCATGCCTGTAATCCCAGTGCTTTGGGAGGCCGAGGCAGGTGGATCACCTGAGGTCGGGAGTTCGAGACCAGCCTGACTAACATGGAGAAACCCTGTCTCTACTAAAAATACAAAATTAGCCATGTGTGGTGGCTCATGCCTGTAATCCCAGCTCCTTGGGAGGCTGAGGCAGGAGAATTGCTTGAACCCAGGAGGCGGAGGTTGCAGTGAGCCAAGATCGTGCCATAGTACTCCAGCCCGGACTGGAGTCTCAAAAAAAAAAAAAAAAAAAAAAAAAAGAATAAACAAGATGTTATTCATCAGGATAGTCCAACAACTTTGGCTGCCAAATATAATTTTGGCTGCCACATATAATTTTGGAAGAATCCCTTACTTCTTTTATTAAAAGTTATTTACATTTCTTTTCATGGAAGTCATCTTTAATTACTTTATATCCTGAGTATTCATTAAACCAATATATAGGTTGCCTTGTATTTTTTCATCAAAAATTGCTGGTTATAACTTATACTCACTATCCAGGTTATCATCAAGTCCATTCCAACAGGTTCCAAAATTTTGCAGCATGAACCTATTTTTGTTTGATAAAGTGTGTAGATCTAAATATCAAAAAGATTAACTGAAAATGTATAAATATTAGTAGTTCTCTCTGGAGGGTTTGTTTAGAGGTAGGTTTAGGTTTCTGTTTATTCTTCTGTATTTTCAAATTTTTCTACAAAGGCTATTGTATCTGTTATCATCTTTCTTTTAGAATGAATAAAAAGAAAGGAGAAAGGGAAGACAACAGGAAAAGGAGGAGGAAGGGAGAAGAAGGAAATGGAAGAGGAGGAGAAAAAGAAGGATGTGTGTGTGCAGGAGAGAAAGAATGAGAGAGACAGAGAGAAAGGAGAACGAGAGACTACCTGGCAAATACTGTAACAGAGACAATACAGGAGGCTGGCAAGACGTAGGTGTGTAGGTGCCTGGAGGAAATCAATAGTTTTTCAAAGAAAGTAATGTTTAGAGTTGAGCCTGTCAGCAGAAGTGGCACGTAAGCTTTGTAGGGTAAGAATAGCCTAAAGTGCATGAGGCATGAAAGAAAATGGCCTGTTTGGGATCTAAAAGTAGTTTGCATGGATGAAGCACACACAGCCTGTATGATGTTTAAACTGTGGCTTGAAACCCACTAACAGGACAGAAACTCTGTGAAGTGGGTCATGGACAGCATTTTACAAATTAATAGGCTATAACAGAAACTATGAAAGTGAATTACACATAAGAATAAGTGCCAAATTTTGTGAAGATTTTCATGTGTGTCTGTGAGTGTGTGTGTAAATTAGATCATGTAATAAAATATATATTTTTAATTGTAGGTTGAGGTCAGAAAAACGTGAAGCTGTTGCCGAGGCCTGGGAAGTCATGAGCGCTCCATGCAGGAAAATGGCAGGACCAGATTGCATCTGACTAAAAGACATCACTTGAGTTCTGTAGTAGGTAGAATGATGGCTCTCCAAGGGGTCTACTTTCCAATCTCCAAACCTGTGAATATTACTTTATATGGCCAAAGGAATTTCATAGGTATGATTAAATTAATGATCTCACAATGAGGGGATTATCCTACAATTTCTGGATGGGCTCAATGTAATCACAAAGGTTTTTATAAGGGAAAGGAGGAGGCAGGAGAATCAGAGAAGAGGTAACAACAAAAGCAAAGGTGAGAAAGAGATTTGATGAGATGCTATGCTGTTGGCTATGAAGGTAGAGGAAGGGGCCATGAGCCCAGGAATGCAGGTGGCCTCTCAATGCCAGAGAAGGCAAAGAAGTGGATTCTCCCCCTGGAGCTTCCAGAAGGAACACAGCCCTGAAGACCCATTTTGGACTTCTGACTTCCAGAACTGTAAGATAATATGTTTGTGTGGTTTCAAGCCACTACATTTTTGGTAATTTGTTACAGTAGTAGGAAACGAATACACATTCCATAGGAATGGATTTGCTTCAGGAAGCTAGAAGCTTAAAAATAAAGAGAGGCGATTGCAATATCCTGGGGAGAGACGATAAGTAAACTAAAGTATAATTGGAAAGGAAACTCATCTTCAGAATGTGAAAGATTCTGAAGGTATTTCAAAGGTAAAACTGATAACACCTGAAGAATAACAGAATTTGGAATGTGATTAAAAAATGAACTAGGCCAGGTGTAGTGTCTCACACCTATAATCCCAGCACTTTGGAAGTCCGAGGCGGGTGGATCACAAGGTGAGGAGATCGAGACCAACCTGGCTAACATGGTGAAATCCCATCTCTACTAAAAATACAGAATTAAAAAATTAGCCGGGCGTGGTGGTGGGTGCCTGTAGTCCAAGCTACTCTGGAGGCTGAGGCAGGAGAATGATGTGAACCAGAGAGGCAGAGCATGCAGTGAGCTGAGATCGCACCACTGCACTCCAGCCTGGGTGACAGGGCGAGACTCCATCTCAAAAAAAAAAAAAAAAAAAAAAAGGAAATAAAAGATTTTTAAACCAGAGTACCTCAAAAGCTATCTCCTTTCAACTATTTGGAGGTCTATCCATAAAGGAGGAATTAATGACAATGTTACTATAGCATTTCTTCTTGCCAGGATCACCAAACCAAGTGTTCTCAATTTTTTCCTCAGTAGCATGATTGTGAAATGGTTCAAGACCTCGAGTCGATTTCCTAGCCAACTGGAACAGACAGGAATATCTATTTTTAAATACGTGTTACATATTTTGAATACACACCTATGCATCAATTAATCATATTAAAAATCCTCACAGGGAAATAATAATGATGTTTTGCAAAGTGGTTCATAAAGTACAATCACATTATCACCTAACTTGATCTTAGACAAACTTTGCAAGGGAACACACAATGAATATTATCTTTGCTTTGCAGATAAACAACTTAGGGCTCTGAATTGGGAGGACATTCTCGAGCTTATCTATCAGATCCACAAGTTAATTGTGTTTCTAAACAGAAATAGAAGTCTTAGACTGAATGTAACTTATTTGGTATTTTAACAGAATTCAAACTCAGTTCATGGAATTAATATGCACACACACAAACTGCATTCTTTGCTTCTTTCCATCCCCCTCATCACAGAACATGAAAATGTAAAGTATCAGGATGCTTTGGATTTTAATATTAACTGGAAGTTTCATAAAACTAAATCATATGAAACACATGCAAAGCACTGCTTTTGTCTTTTAAAGTATTGCTATTAACTTGTAAGATAATATTCAGAAAACATTTCCTCAGCACTTACTACCAAGTGTCATGTGCCATGCTGACTCATTTAAAAATTGAATAGATGGCATCTGCCTTTCAATTCAATTCAAAAATGGAACAGACGCGGGGCATTCCAAGATGGCTGAATAGGAACAGCTCGAGTCTGCAGCTCCCAGTGTGATCTATGCAGAAGACGGGAGATTTCTGCATTTCCAACTGAGGTACCTGGTTCATCTCATTGGGACCAGTTGGACAGTGGGTGCAGCCCATGGAGGGCGAGCCGAAGCAGGGTGGGGCGTCGCCTCACCCGGGAAGCGCACGAGGTCAGGGGATTTCCCTTTCCTAGCCAAGTGAAGCTGTGACAAACTATCTGGAAAAATGGGACACTCTCACCTAAATACTATGGTTTTCCCAAGGTCTTAGAAACTGGCAGACAAGTTGATTCTCTCCCGTGACTGGCTTGGTGTGTCCCACGCCCACGGGGCCTTGCTCACTGCTAGCACAGCAGCCTAAGATCAAACTGCGAGGCAGCAGCCTGGTTGGAGGAGGGGCGTCTGCCATAGCAGAGGCTTGAGTAGGTAAACAAAGTGGCAGGGAAACTCCAACTGGGTGGAGCCCATCTCACCTCAACAAGGCCTACTGCCTCCAGACTCCACCTGTGTGGGCAGGGCATAGCTGAACAAAAGGCAGCAGACAACTCTGCAGACATAAACCTCCCTGTCTGACAGCTCTGAAGAGAGCAGTGGTTCTTCCAGCATGGCGTTTGAGCGCTGAGAATGGACAGACTGCCTCCTCAAGTGGGTCCCTAACTCCCATGTAGCCTAACTGGGAGACACCTCTCAGTAGGGGTTGAAAGACACCTCATATAAGTGGCTGCTTCTCTGGGACGAAGCTTCCAGAGGAAGGATCAGACAGCAATATTTTCTGTTCTGCAATATTTGCTGTTCTGCAGCCTCCGCTGGTGATACCCAGGCAAACAGGGTCTGGAGTGGAATTCCAGGAAACTCCAACAGACCTGCAGCTGAGGGACCTGACTGTTAGTAGGAAAACTAACAAACAAAAAGGAATAGCATCAACATCAACAAAAAGGTCAACCACACCAAACCCCATCTGTAGGTCACCAACATCAAAGACCAAAGATAGATAAAACCACAAAGATGGGGAGAAACCACAGCAGAAAAGCTGAAAATTCTAAAAATCAGAGCACCTTTTCTCCTCCAAAGGATCACAGCTCCTCGCGAGCAACGGAACAAAGCTGGATGGAGAATGACTTTGATGAGTTGAGAGAAGTAGGCTTCAGAAGGTTGGTAATAACAAACTTCTCCAAGCTAAAGGAGGATGCTTGAACTCATCGCAAGGAAGTTAAAAACCTTGAAAAAAGATTAGGCGAAAGGCTAACTAGAATAAACAGTGTATAGAAGACCTTAAATGACCTGATGGAGCTGAAAACCATGGCATGAGAACTTCGTGATGCATGCACAAGCTTCAGTGGCCAATTTGATCAAGTGGAAGAAAGGGTATCAGTGATTGAAGATCAAATTAATGAAATAAAGTGAGAAGATAAGTTTAGAGAAAAAAGAGTAAAAATAAATGAACAAAGCCTCCAAGAAATATGGGACTATGTGAAAATACCAAATGCACATTTGATGGTGCACCTGAAAGGGATGGGGAAAATGGAACCAAGTTGGAAAACACTCTTCAGGACATTACCCAGGAGAACTTCCCCAACCTAGCAAGGCAGGCCAACATTCAAATTCAGGAAATACAGAGAACACCACAAAGATACTCCTCGAGAAGAGCAACTCCAAGACACAAAATTTTCAGATTCACTAATGTTAAAATGAAGGAAAAAGTGTTAAAGGCAGCCAGAGAGGAAGATCGAGTTACCCACAAAGGGAAACCCATCATAACAACAGGAGATCTCTTGGCAGAAACCCTACAGGCCAGAAGATGGTGGGGGTCAATATTCAACATTCTTAAAGAAAAGAATTTTCAACCCAGAATTTCATATCCAGCCAAAATTAGTTTTATAAGTGAAGGAGAAAAAAAATCCTTTACAGACAAGCAAATGCTGAGAGATTTTGTCACCACCAGGCCTGCCTTACAAGAGCTCCTGAAGGAAGAACTAAACATGGAAGGAAACAACTAGTACCAGCCACTGCAAAAACATCCCAAATTGTAAATACCATCGATGCTAGGAAGAAACTGCATCAATTAACGGTCAAAATAACCAGCTAACATCATAAGGACCAAATCAAATTCACGCATAACAATATTAACCCTAAATGTAAATGGACTAAATGCTCCAGTTAAAAGACATAGACTGGTAAATTGGATAGAGTCAAGACCCATCAGTGTGTTTATTTGGGAGACCCATCTCACGTGCAAACGCACGCAGGCTCAAAAAAAAAAGGGATGGAGGAAGATCTACCAAGCAAATGGAAAGCAAAAAATACCAGGGATAACAGACATTGAACCAACAAAGATCAAAAGAGACAAAGAAGGTCATTACATAATAGTAAAGGGTTCAGTTAACAATAAGAGCTAACTATCCTAAATATATATGCACCAAATACAGGAGCTCCCAGATTCATAAAGCGAGTCCTTAGAGACCTACAAAGAAACGTAGACTCCCACACAATAATAATGGGAGACTTTAACACCCTACTGCCAATATTAGGCAGATCAACGAGACAGAAGGATAACAAGGATACCCAGGACCTGAATTCAGCCCTGCAACAAGCAGACTTAATAGACATCGACAGAACTCTCCACCCTAAATCAACAGAATATACATTCTTCTCAGCACCACATCGCACTTATTCTAAAATTGACCACCTAATTGGAAGTAAAGCACTCCTCAGCAATTGTAAAAGAACAGAAATCACAACCAACTGTCTCTCAGACCAATCAAATTAAAACTCAGGATTAAGGAACTCACTCAAAACTGCACAACTATAGGGAAACTGAACAACTTGCTCCTGAACGACTACTGGGTAAATAATGAAATGAAGGTAGAAATAAAGATGTTATTTGAAACCAATGAGAACAAAGACACAACGTACCAGAATTTCTGGGACACATTTAAAGCAGTGTGTAGAGGGAAATTTATAGCACTAAATGCCCACAAAAGAAAGCAGGAAAGATCTAAAATTGACACCCTAACATCACAATTAAAAGAACTACAGAAGTAAGAGCAAACAAATTCAAAAGCTAGCAGAAGGCAAGAAATAACTAAGATCAGAGC